AAGAGTGTAGGTCATGCCAAGAGCATTCTTCTCAGAACCGTAGCTGTGGGATTTGCAGAATAATGCCCTGGGCAGAGATGATTAGGCCATGAAATAGACTAAAAAGTAGAATCATTGAAATTAGTCATTGTGTGGCCTAGAGTAGTCAAGAGAGGATCCCCAAAAGAAGCCCACAGTGCCAACTATTGTAAGTTGGGGAGATTTGGAAGAGCGAGTGATAAGGATGGAAAATATCCCAGGCATGGGGTCCACATGAATAAAAGCATGGTGACAAAAGTAGAATGGCAAATGCTGTTCAGTGAGGAAGCTCAGCTGGTTAAAATAGTGTGGTCCATAGACAGTAGGGGAGAATCAAGTGTTGAAGGTGAATCCATTTACTCTAACCCTAGCTTGGCTGACTGCTTAGTCATGGGGTTTCCTCCCTTCCTTTTCTCCCTCCCTCCCTCCCTCTCTTCCTTTCGTCCTGCCTTTCTCTTTGTTTAATTCACCCTCTCTCCTTTTTTCTTTCTGTTCTTGGATATTGAATGCAAATGCAATGATTGCTGGATTTCCACTCCCTCTGGTAGGCTCCGGATGAAGGCACACAGCACTGCTGCTATGTTAGAAGAGCATGCATACACAATTACAGCACACTATGCTAAATGCTATCACAGAACACAGGAAGGGAAATACAAACATTAGGGCAATGCTTGACAAATACCCAGCATATATTAATAGCATTTATTGATGGGAAAATATGGTCCAAGGGTGACATCATCTCATTTGATCATTTCAATAACCTGATGAAGTGTCTATTATTGTGCCTAACTTATGGATGAAGAGACTGCAGCTTAGAAAAGTGAAGAAACATCTCAAATCACACAGCAAATGGGTGGCAGACACAGGGCTCAAGCCACATTTTTCTAAACTTTCACTTGTGTTCTTTGTACAACATGATGTCAGTTACGCATTCTTAAGCTGGAATGACGATTTAGGCACCTGGATGTTTCTTGCTGCTTTCAGTTGCTTTGTGGTCACAGAGTTTCATCATACAACACTTTTTGGTAATAGGGGCTTGGGATAAAGCCTGTCCCCTCTAAAGATCTGTCTTTCCTTCTTTCCATAGGAAGAACTTGCTGCCCTGGGTATGGACAAATTCAACAGGGCAGAGCAAAACAGGAGAGCCTTGGCTGACAAAAGGAGACACACCAGCTAAGGGTGATGTCGGCTAGCTGAAAATACACGCTAATCTAATCTGGCTGTTCTAGATGAATCTCAGGAATGTGGGAGGCTAGCATGTCAGATAGGCAATTATTGGCCGGACGCAGGATTGCATAATGTGATGATGACTGGGGCTTCCTGCTTCAGCTCGAATGTGGCGAGCTTGCCAGAGAGGATTTATCTTCCCAAGAGAAACATGCCAGCTTTGAGAGGATATGAAGTAACTGTTATTATGGGAAAAAAGACAGGCTTAATTTGAAAATAGTCAAGGTCTCTTTCAGTTTGTAGTCTGAATCGCTTTCCTTTCCTTTTTTAATTTTTCCTTTTCTGCTCCTCTGTCTCTGTCACTAGGTCTTTCTCTTCAAATTTCAGTGTCCTCATTACCTTTCTTTCATTTTGCTTTTATTTTTACTTGCATCCTTGCTTTTTGTTCAAATCTTTACATCAGTTTAATGTTAGAGGAAAGTGCCTTGATTCTTTTTCTATTAAAGAAGATGCTGATTAAAAAAGCGTCTGTGGTGGTTTTGTCTGGGAGGGGGTCTTTTAGACTGAAGGTTAAGTAGAAGAGATTTCTCTAGTTAATATGCAACAACCTGGAAAAATTGTTTGGATAACCAAATATGCAAATCGCCCATGTACTTCCTCTTTCTACACAGAGACCCGCATCAGATTCTTGCCACTGCCTTTGCCTGAATTGCTTCACAAAAAAAACCCTCCTTATCATTTGGCCTCCTTTGAAACACTGGCTTTGAGCTCCTCAGGGTGGCCAGTAAAATGCTTCAGAGAGAAAAATGATGTACACAAACAGAACAGAATATAGGAACAACCGAAATGACTCTTCTAGATATTTGTTTACCTTTTTTCTTTTTTTTTTTTTCCAGATGAGAATATGACATCCAGAATGGCTGGCAGTGGAAGCCAGTGCTTACAACCCTCAGTCTCATTTCTTTTTACTAACACACTGTACTTTCTCTCTTCTTGTTCAGGAAAGTATTTTTGTCTGAAGATAAAAATGTAATGTTGGAGCTAAAATGTCATAAGGTCACAAATCATAAAAGTGTCCAAAAACCTGAGAATATTTATATTTATAGTGAATGCCTCCATAAATATTTATTATTTTCTAAGATAACCCTGAGCCATAAAGAAAACATAGCATTATTTAGGAAGACAGAAAAATATGTAATAACACAGACACTGGTTGAAATTGAATTAAAATTCTCATGGAAACTCTTCTTGGAACTTAAAGGGATTAATCGGCATTAATTTTCTAGAAAATACACATGGTTCACTTAAATAAATTCACTTTGAGTAAGAAACTAGTTATTGAATGTTTGCCAGGCTCAATGGTAGGCATTGAGAGCAAAATGACTCACATCTTCTACCTTCTTAGGATGTTTTATTGTCTTATTTTACGTATATGAACTTCAAGTTTAGAGAGGTCAAGCAACTGGCCCCAAGCCGGGCAGTCAGTGAGCTGGTTGGTCAGCATAAAACTGGGATGGAAGCAGGTCTGTCTGACCTCCCAGTCTGTTCTCTTGGTACTGCATTCTCTCTCTGTTATGTGCCAGGAGCTCTCCCAGGTACAGATGAATGCAAAAGCTAATTTCATTTTGGTAGAATCACTCTTTCCTCCGATGCCCTCTATGGAACATTGACAATCTGAAAGAAATGCAGGGTATATTTTACATGATCACAGCATAATTAACAAAGACACCAGGTTTCTTATTAAACAATCGTAACTACTACGTTAAAAGTCCTGATTTTCCTTCCAAATAACATCTGTTCCTCCACTACTCACCTGTGACAATTGTCAACCAAAGGCTTAAAATGTAGAAACAATACTTTAAAAGATGAGGTCTGTATAGCAAAGGTATGTCAACCTCATTTTTTAAATCTATTTTGCATTCAACGCTTGCAGTAAGACATATCTTTTTAAATATGTTCTCATAATATTGCAGAGAAACATAAATGTCCTAAGTATTAAATTAAGGCTAATCACACATCATTATGCTTTATTTTATCAGTAAAATATCTATATTGTAAACATTGTCTGCCCCAACGTTGCCGCAGACTCTTGCAGCTGGAATCTTCTTTCACTGCACAGAGTTCCTGAATCAGTCCTGAACTGGAAGACAAAGTATCTTAGAATTTCTACCCTGAGGATGAGGTGCAAAGGTGGGACCTGAAATGTGTCCTGCTGACATTCACTGTGTCACTTCCCTACCTAGGGGAGCCTTGGTACCACGTAGCTCCCAAACTGCCTACTCCACCGCCGCAGCTGAACCCTCCTTCCCCCTCCGCCTTCCTTCTCCTCCACCTCCTTCTTCCATCACTTCACACCAACACAATTGTGACCCGTCTTTAAACTCATCCCTTTGAGATAGAACTGATACTAATTTTCTGGATAAGAAAATCGTGACTTAGAGAATTTAGATAATGTGCCTGAAGTCATAAGGTGGGACCCTGGGTTTGAATTCTGCCCATATGAAAAATGATATGGGCAGAATTCAAACCCAGGGGCCTGCCTGCCTGCAAAGTCTGAAGCATTGGTCGTGATCTTAAAGCTAAGTCATTTCTAATCCTCCAGGACCCAGCAGCCTTCATATGGGCACCTTTACCATCATCCTCCTCCATCCATCTAGGACTGATGTGTCCTTAAACCACATCTTTTGTGAGTTGGGCATTAGAGATCCCCTGCTGGGGTGACCCTCGTGATCAGCTCAGCCTCCTTACCAACTATCCTACTCTATTTAGGCTTTCTCACCCTTCATTTTCTGTCCTTAGAACCCAGTTCTACCTTTCATGACTAATGTCCCAGAATGTCTTGAACCCGAAAGTTTCAGAGTTAAGACAGTCTCTGCCAACATTTTCTATATTAAAATAATACTAACCATGCCTTACTTGTTATGCTAAATCTCTTGGCCCATAACACATCGCTTCACTGAGAAGTTTCCTTCTTGGGTTGATCCCTGCTGCCACTGGCCATGTCAGATAACTCCAACCACCAAAGACCAACTTACCTGTCAGCCTTGGAAGATAATTGAGGACACCCGGTAGTGCCCAAGACCTACTGAAAAAATTACTTTTCTGGTTTCTGATGTGCTTTCATCCCAAACTCAGGTCCACCTGAGTCTGGGATCCTGCTCTGAAACTGCTACTGACCCCTTTGGATTGGTTCCTGTGTAGTAAGCCCTTATAACATCCAGAACTGCTGGCACTGGAAGCCAGTGCTTACAATCCCAGTCTAGTTTTCCACTGATACACTGTGCTTCCTCTCTTCCTGTTATTTTTCTATGAATACAAAAATGTGATTTTGGAGCAAAAATGGTAGAAGGTCACAAAACATAAAAATGTCCAAAAATCCGAGAATATTTATATTTATAGTGAACTCCTCCATAAATATTTATTTTCTAAGATGACCCTGCACCATAAGGAAAACATAGCATTATTTAAGAAGACAGAAAAATATGTAATAACACTTAGACACTGGTTGAAATTGAATTAAAATTCTCATTGAAACCCTTCTTGGGACTTAAAGTGTTCGGCATTGATGTTTTCAGAAGATATACCCTACCCTCATCAATAGGCTCTTGGAAATCGAGACTTTAAGCTCAACCAATTTTCCCATGGGTGAATTGATAGAAACAAGAATTAAGTTTCTATGGCTTATTTCTGATCACAAAATCATCGCCAACTTGTAAATAAAGGCCAACACATGTCTAATATTAAACATGGAAACAAATGTGAGCTATGCATATGTCTAAGACAGATGAATAAAAACAAGTAAGAGAATTAATTACCCACTAATTCCAGCTTAGGGTCATGAGAGGCCAGAACCTGTGCTGGAAACAGGGTGCAGGATGGAAACCAGCCCTGGACCGGACACCCTCCCAGTGCAGGGCAAACTCACATGCACCCCCAGATGCACTCACACAAGGACCATGTAGACGCGCCAGTCGCCACCTCCGGTGCGCAGCTTTGGGATGTGGGAGGAAATCGGAGTACCCAGAGAAAACCCATGCACGCATGGGGGAATGTGCAGACTCCACAGAGACACAGCCCTGACCAGGAATTGATTTTTTTTTCTCATCAATATTATAATGAACAAAATGACGTTATTCAAGGACCTGCTATATTTGGTCTTCTTGGAGTTGGCAATGCCTCCCTCCCTTGCTGCTCAGTGCCTCACATAGTGCTACGAGAGCCTCCGTACCCTGACACTGGCTGTGTTGCCACTGGGACAGTGTGCCTAGCCCCAGCCCAGTCCCCTCCTGGAGAGGGGAATTTACACCGGTGGCTTTTCTATAACAGGAGAAATAGAAAACGTCCTGTTTCTGCTACCACGCAGCAAACACCTCTCAGGCCTCTCACCTACACCTGCACCAAGTTATCTGACTTCTGACTTCTGACAAACCACAGCGTCTAAATTTCTAAACCCCCATAAAACAAAATAATTGTACAAAAAGGACAGAAGTTGAAAGACACAGAAGGGGCCTGAGGAAGTCATGTGTCTTTCCCAATTCCCTCCTACTCTGTTGGTTTTCATATAGTTGTTGTCACTTGTTCACTCCATATGGAGGAAGATGGAAAAGTCTTCCTTGATGTCACAGAGAAATGCTGGCTCTGAAAATCCCAGATCTGAAACCTGATGGGTGGCTATGGAAAAGACCAGCACTCTCTAGGACAGCAGGCGAGTGCCTCTGGGGAAGGCTTGTCTGGGCAATGAGGCCGGTCCTGGGGTCTGTGCTCTGACAACATCTCTTAACTTCTCTGGGTGCTCTCAGAATTATTTATTTAACGAAATAACTTCTATGGGTCCTTTCCAAGGATCATAATGTGAAGGAAAAGGTGGAATATCAGGCTGCCTTTGTGGTGCCTTGCCAGTGCCAGTGTGGAGTGTGTGAGCATCCTATGAGTGTATCCAGGTAGTTAGGAGGAAGAGAGTACCATGTAAGTCTTCCAGGTGCAGGCGGCAGGAGGAAGTCCAGTGGACACCTGTGAAGCTAAGTTCCAGGATCTTTTGGGGGCTGTGGAGAGGAGGGCTGCAGGGGGACTGTGTTGACTGACTCATTCTTCTCTGACTCCTCAGAAGCCAGTTCACTGCATTAGAGGGGCTGGTCTGCGAGTCATATGGTGCTTCCCTTCCTCCCCTTAACTACAGGAATTTCAAGATGTTTACAGAAACTTCAAGGAGTGAACCAAGTTATTAAAAGAGTAGCAATTAGGGTGGCCCATCCCAGCAATTTAGTTTCCTGTCTAAGGAAGCATGGGGGGATGGGTTTCCAGGGAGGGGAGAGGGAGGGAGCATTCTTGTCTCCTGATTGGACCGCCCCAGGATTTCCATTTCCAAACACAAAACAGAAGGAGGGAAGAAAGGTTGCCAGATGCCAGCTCCCAGCTCCCTGGAGGAGTAACTCGCTCTCTGCAGATGCTCCAGCAGCTGGTTAGGCCCCTCCTCGAAATGTCTCTCCTGCTTCCTTCTTTTGGGGGATCCTGGCTCAGCTTTGAAAGCCTTTTGGCATCTTTCCCCTGCCTCCAAAACTTAAGCTGTGTTGGAAGCTGCCTGATAAATCACTCTTTGCACTGTGGCTGTGATGGGGCTTGCAGAGAGTGACTGCGTAGTGATTTACAGCTGCTGTCTGAGAGGGCTTTTCCAAGCAGCCAGCCTAGACCAGGGAGTCATCTCTGGCAAAATGAGCATTTTGTCTAGTTCAAATGGACACTACAGAGAGGAAGTGGGATTGCTTTGTTAAGAACTTGCTGGCCATCCATTCCTCAAGCCAGCTGGAATCTCCAAGTTCAATTCTTCCATGCAACTTGAGCTCAAGAAACAAGGTCCAGAAAAGTGGTTTTTCATGAGAGGCCTGCTGGAGCCTTTCCTAAAGGAAGGAGACCTTTCTGGTTCTGAACTGCAGTTACACAATGCTGGGCAGGCATTCTGATTTGTGGTCATGGTTTCCCAGAACCCCAAGGGACCCATCCAGGAAAACGCCTATGTCCCCTCACCTGCCTTGTCATCTGCTCCCTCCCAAGGGGATTTCGTTCCCTTGATTGTGTTCCACAGTGGCTGTTGGAAGTCAGGTGCCCTGGACGCAGCTTGGGTTGTGTGGTGTGAGGACCTGAGCCTTGTGCATACGTGGCTTTTGCTTCTAGTCCTGGCTTGACAGTGCGACAAGTTAATTGACCTGCTTCAGCTCTAAGTCTTCATCTCCATTATGAGAATAAAAAGCTCTTCCTGGAGACATTGTTTTCCTTAAACCTCAGATAGTTAGCACAAAGTAGATGGAAGAGTAGATCCAAATAAAATATTTTTAAACAATATTTTGTTGCTTGTTTTCTGTTCTTGTTTTTGTGGTTTTTTTTGTTTTTTTTTTTTTTTTGGTCTTTTTCCCTGAAAACAGGTTTTCAGCCTACCATTTATATAGGAACCCAAAAGGAATGCTTCAAAAATATGGGAGTTATAATTTAGAACACACTTGCAAAAAATAACTTTTCTAAGGCTAGATTGGAGTAGATAGTTTCAGCTACATAAAAACTCATGATGTAAGGGTTCATGGAGATGCTATTAGCAATAGTGCTCCGGGACAGGAGATAGATCATTTAAAAAAATGTGGGTTTTTCATGTGGAGAGAACATAGGTTGTTTTTATTTCTGGGGTAAAAATTCTCCATAGGAATGTGTAATGCTAAAAGGTAAATGACAGACTATTTGAAAGAGGAGAAAAAATGTGTTTACTCTTGCCTCCCAACAATAGAGTATCTCTCTCCCTTCTGAGAAAACTAGGAACTAATTTTCTTTCGAAAATGCGCTACATATATTCTGAAATACAGATCTTCTACCTCCCACTCCATATTTTCTTGCAATTCCTTGTTCATGCTGATACTCCAAGAGCAAAGGAGCAAAGCACAGTTTCATTAACAAAAAGCACGATTTGTTCCTTTGTTGTCCTTTTCTGATGGGTCTGTGGTTTGGTAAAAAGCAACATAAGTGTGCCTAATTCCATGCCAAATATAAAATCTCATCCTAGGGATTCATCTGAGATACATATGCCTCTTGAAAACTACTTAGAAATTTTGCGTGAAAGAAAGGGGAAGAAGTGAAGGTATTTATTATTATTATTTTTGAATTTGCCTGTCTTTCCAGACAATACCATACTGAGGTTCTTGCGTCTGTGTCTCACACCCTCATACACCCACACCCCGTCCCCCACCCCAAACGCACACACTTCGTGTCCATCCCCTAGGTAAGCTGATTATCAGGTGTTTTCCCCTTTCCTCTGGGAAGAGTTCTCATGCTGTAGTGTCTATATGAATCACATTAGGGTATTTCCAAAATGAAGAATCTAATCAGTAGGTCTGGAAAAAGGGCTCAGATTCTGAGTGTCTAACAAACTCCCAGCTTAGGCCAATATGGATGGTCCATGGACCCCACTTTGAGTATCAAGTGTAGGGGAAAGGGCACTAGAATTCAAGAGACAAACATATTCTTTGAATTTTGTTACAAACAGCATGTGTGACCTTGAGGAGTCCTTTCTTATGTGTAGGTTTCTGTCTTGCGCATTCAGAAATGGAGGGAACGGAACCAGCTAACTTCTAAGACCTTTTCTGATGTTGCTATTTGTTTTACTTGATTTTAGATTCTTACAACTTCTAGTCCATATAAGAGCTTCACCCAAGAAAAAAGAACAAAACAAACCTCAAGTTTATGAGGTAAAAACAGTGTGAGAACACATTAAGGGAACCAAAGAACAGAGATTCTTCTTTCTCCAATACTGGAAGTCCTGCATGGTTACATTCAAAGCACTCATTTCCCAAAATAAGGCCAACAAGAAAAAGAAAAAAATCCTACAATCCCAGTACTTTGGGAGGCGGAGGTGGGTGGATCTCAAGGTCAGGAGTTCGAGACCAGACTGACCAACATGGTGAAACCCTGCCTCTACTAAAAATACAAAAATTAGCTGGGTGTAGTGGTGCGCACCTGTAATCCTAGTTACTCAGGAGGCTGAGGCAGGGGAATTGCTTGAACCCAGGAGGCGGAGGTTGCGGTGAGCCGAGATTGTGCTACTCCAGCCTGGGCAACGGAGCAGACTCTGTCAAAAAAAAAAGGGTAGGGAGGGGGAGAAAGAAAGGGAAAGAAAGAAAACGAAGGAAAGAAAGAGAAAGAAAGAAAGACCAACATCAATAATCAGCAGAGAAATACAAATTAGACCCATGATAAAATATTACCTGTTAGAGTGATTTCATCAAAAAGACCAAAAACAATCAATGTTGGTGAAGATGTGGAGAAAAGAGGACCCTTACATACTACTGGTAAGAACGTCAATCAGTACAGCCGCTGTAGAAAACAGAATGGAATTTCCTCAGAAAGCTAAATATAAAACTATCATGTGATCCAGCAATTCCCTTTTTGGATATATATATATAAAAAAAATGAAATCTGTATACATGAGAGATATTTACACTCCCATGTTCATTGTAGCACTATTCACAGTAGCCAAAGTATGGAATCAACCTCAGTGTCCATCAACAGATGAATATGAAATGGAAAAGTTTCCCCTCTCCCCCTTGCAGGACACGGGGCTAGCTTCTTCAGTGCCCCACTGCTCAAATCTCTAGGGGAGCACACAGACGTGCAGGCTGTGTCGAGGCCTGAATGTTTGCAGCTCCTGAAGCCCCAGCGGATGTGTGTTAGAGGACGCTCTTTTAGTTTTGCTCTTTGTTTTACCATGCATAGGTGGCTTCTGTTAACTAGCTCAGTTAAACCCCTCTACCTTCTTAAAAAGACAGAGGGCTTTCTGTATCTCAAGTTTTGGCCTTGGTGCACTGGAAGAATTGGATCACACGTGGGCTTGGAGAGTGAGTGCAAGGTTTTACTGAGCGGAGGTGGCTCTGAGCAGATGGGGGAAGTTAAGAGGGGATGGAGTGGGAAGGTTTTCCCCTGGAGTTGGGCCAGCAGTGGCTTGGGCTCTCCTCCCACTGCCCCAGCCAAACT